AGTCTTGAAAGCTTGGGGTATTTGTGTAAGCTTCTTGTTGTCTTACTGTTGAATTTTCATGACTTGGTATGTTCTTACGAATTAAAGCAAGTAACAAGCACAATGTTTACTGATGAATTCAGTGAGAGGGGCCACTGTTTTGAGTCAGCCTGATAACTGAAAGCTAGCAACTTTGAATAAAAACAAGTGTGTGGTCAGTTACTGGTCCTCAATGTATAGACAATGTATACTTTTCCTCTTTTAATTTCTAAGAAGTTGATTTTATGTCACTCTACAGACTTTCTGTTTTCAAAGTAAGGATCATGTTGCGGGTCAGTATGTTTCGGTGTACTAAACTGAGGATCGCGTTGTCAGTACTAGGTCTAGCTTGCCCCCAGCAAGCACTTTCTGCAGCAAACTGAGGGAAGACTGTGAAAGACAACATAACTTCTTGGTAACTGGTATGGGGGGGGGGGGGGGGGGGAAAAAAACACACCCAAATCCACTCTGGGCAGCCCCCGCCTCCGAAAAACTACAGTGTGTGACTTGCATTTCATTTATAAAGTGGTGGTAAGGAGAGGTCAATATTGGGGCTGTGGCCACTCAGACTTTGTGTTCTATGTATTATTTATAACGAAACATATTTTACTCCTATTACTTGCGCTTTGGGTGCTGAAAAGTGTTTAGGAAAATGCAAGAAATTGCTCCTAATATTGTAAAATTGGCAGGAATTGAACTTTGTCATGTTGTGGGGGAGAAGGTAGCATTCTTACAGTTCTGTGATGAGTGTACATATTATCTTAGGGATGAAATCATACTACTTCCCGTGAAGAAAAAACAAATGCCCAAAAACATAGATCTGAAGTTTGAAGAAGCTGTCAGCTGAACTTGTTTGGGCAACTTGACCACATTTGTGAAAGAAGATGATCATTTGCTGAGAACATACTGGAAGAGCACATTCCCTATAGCTGTAGTGTTTAGGTTTGTTCTCAAAGCAGAGCGCATGGTGCATGTGGAATCCCATGGCAGTGCTGTTAAGTTTTTGCTTTTTTTCTCCTAAGGGAGATGCCAGGTTATCGTCTCGTTTATACAGCAATACGGGTAGGAACGCATAGGAGTGTAACATGCAAGGGTGTTCCTGGGTAATGTTGATCTGCTTTGCCAATGCGTTGCCTGACGGTGTTACGGATGTCCTTCGCCAACAGCGTTGGGGGCCACGTAGTTTACTGGGCAAGTCCTAGAAAATTGCTGTTCCCCCCCAGGTTCTCACCAACATGTTACTTCCTTCCCTGCCGTCACTTCCTCTCACTTGGTCTGCTCTTTCTAGGTCCATTTTTAGGTGTTCTTGTATGAAAATCAATGGCTGATGCATTTAATGGAGTTCTAGTAGCTCTGTAGCAGGTATCAAGTTGCAGTGCTTTTGCGGGGTACGCTACGGGAATAAGACTTCACATGGTTACCTGTGTGATCTCCCATTTCTTTTATTTAATAAACAGTTTTTCACTAGAACCTGGTGCGGAGTGTCCTGTTGCCTCATTTATAGGCTTCTACCTACTCTGTCCTCAAGATTGTCATTAGAACCACGCTTCTGACTCCCATAAGATAGGAGTGTAGTACGTGCGTTCTGGGACAAATGCTGAGCTGTTAAAACTGACAAACTGATCTCGATTAAGTTGTTTTGTCCTTTGTTTCCTTGTCAAAGTTCATTACTCTGGTTTATCCTATCTAAAACTAGATTGTAAGCTCTTGAGCAGGAGCAGTCTTGGCTTTTAAAATTTAGCTTCTGTAAAAAGCAAGGTGTATTAAATAAAACCAAAATGTGAAACTAAAGCTGCGCTTCAGTGCAGTGCTGTTAGTGGTCACTCAAAGCGTCTCGTGTTACAGCCATACGCGCATGTCTCTCCTGTGAGGGCTCCTTCGCAGCATGCCTGTGCGTGAGTGTTCAGCCTTGCGTTTCATCGATGATGCTGAGGGTATTGCGCTCTGATGAAGAGCTAAGCTTGTGTTTGTTCCTAAGGGATGCTTCTCCAGAAGAGGCACGGATCTAAGCGCAGCTCGCAGCTAATGCTGTTCCATTGTGCTTATGCGCGTTGTTACCGGCAATAACGGAAGGTAATAGGTACGCTTTGTGATCTTCCCACCACCCTGTTTTTCTCTGTACGTACTCCAGCTGACCTTTTCTAGCTTGCAGATAACGTCTTTCCATTATTAATGTAACAAAAATACAGTTTACCATTCAAATGTTACGGACTACTTAATAGCTTTACTATGGGAATGATATTTTAATGAGAACTCCCATGTTGGTATTTGCATTTTTTGTTGCTGTGTCAACAGCTAAATGTATGATCCTCAGCTTTGCAGTTTTCTAGCAGTATAAAAAAGTGTTTTCATTGTTTCTGCTTCAAAGAGATGCTTTTCTCCATGTTAGTATTCACTAAGGTAGAATGTGCCCCAATAGACTTTCACTAGATGTCTGGCTCCAGTGTTTGATACCACATGATGTCTTACTCCACAGCGTACTTTTTAGGATTTTAGTTTCTTGGAAGTTAGGATCTATCAGCAAGAAAGCCAAGGTTGCCTTCAGTCAGGGGTTTCCCACCTTTTACAACCATTTGTTACAAGTTTTCTTTAACAATGCTCTTTCCCTGAATAGTTCTACTCCTGTAGTGTCTCCTTGTGTATAGGTTGAAAATACAGTCTAAAGCCATTATATGAAGCATGTTAAAAGTAGCTTATCAAAAGCAGCTTCAGGAACCCTTTGTCTTGAGAGGAAAGCTTGCTATAAAACCTCTTACAAAACCTCTTACCTGTCTAGCCTAACTTTCACAACCAGGACTAAGCAATGTTTGGGATTGGTTTTTTTCTTTAGACATAGGCTAGTCACTGAAAGGGAAAACACTTCAAAAGTATGAACAGTTTTTAGGTGAAATGTCATGGCAGTCTACTAACATTAAAAAAACAGGACATTGTTCTGAATTCTGCCTACAGTTTTGTCTTTTCTGGGGGTAGGTATCTGAAGGGTTGAGAAAATTACGTAGTACATCCAAACCTAACACTGTGTCGTCTCACAGACCACCTAAATCTAGTAATTCACCCGAGAGGTTCTGCAGAGGTATAGTTAAGTTTTCAGAAATTGAGATGCTTTCATGATGCTCTTCAGTCTGCAAATCCACAGGGAATGGAATGGGCTTGGGGCTGATGTGTTTCCCAGTATATATGGATCATCTGGAGTATGCTGGTTTTTGTTAAGAATTGTGAATAGCAGTTGGGATACTTTGTGCTGATGCTTAACCAACAGAAAGAAATTTCAGGGCCTCACCGGTGAAAGTTTCCACTCTGAACTTACCCTGTCAATCTGAGGCTGTGTCGAAACTGATAAATAAAAGAACAGATGCACACATTTCTTTAAAGACACATTTTAATATAAAATGCAGAGCCCGGTGTTCGAACTGGCTGATTTCATTATTGTTAATTCAGTGTATTTTGCACTCCAAGGCAGCGCTTCCTTTTTAGAAAATACCACTTGATGCTACCAGTGAGTGTAAACACAAGTGCAAACAAACAACATGATTTACATGCTAATGGAATAGTTTGTTTCTTCAAAAGGTGTAATTTGGCATTTAAATTTGTATTGCATGTATGCGTAGTTTTCGGTGCAACTGCTTTTTTTTTGTAACATATCTGACTGTAAAGTTGCTATGTTGTCATCATGCCATGACCAACGAGATTTTTTTTTAATACCAGTTTTATGGTGTTTGCTTATAAAATATGTAAAAAGTATTTCTTGCCATCTAGTTGTTAATATTAGTAAATTATTTTGATATCTTACAAACTAGTGTACCTCAACATTCCTTCGTTATCGTTCATTACATGGCTTTTAGGCCACCTTTTTTGCAGACCCTTTTCAGGTTGTAAAATAGGAAAAGATAAGCTGTTGTAAAATAAACATGTCAGCAAATAAAATGTCATCTTTTTCATAGCACCAATAAATAAATATCAAAACCAAAAATTCTCCTCTTCATTCAAAGCCACTAACAGAGTGTAACCTTATTATCACAAGTACAGATAAATAGTAATTTGGTTCAGTTTAATTTACTTTGAAGATTTAGGGAAAATTAAAAAAAAACAACCCAACCCGTAACACTCAAGATACTTATAAAATGCCAGTTTTAAAAAGCTAAAAAGAAAAACTTCTCCTTGAGGAAGGTACCCAAATGGGGGGGAAAGGGAAGGTACACAAGTAAATACATCGCATTAGGAAACAGAACAGGAGCTCATTCACCATCACTCATTTTCATGGAAAAAAAACTGAGAATGATTCAGTTGAAGAGGATGAAGGTAAGACAGTACTGAATCAGATACTAATTATTTTTCAGAATCTATTTGCAGATTGACAATATGAGTTGCAAAATTAATTGGTACATTATGTTTGCTTGGAGCTGCGATGGTGGAAGTAGTGAGGAAAAATGGGTTCCTGGGCGCCTCTCCTCAAAGGAAAACTAGGAAAAGCAGAACAGTTCTGAACAAATGTCAATCACAGAGTATCTCTTGGTATATTTATGAATACATAAATCCACAGTGAATTTAAGGTGAAGATGAGCTACAATTTTTCCTCCAGTGCTAAAAAAGAATAAAAAAATAAGGTCACTTTTTGTTTAAAGAATCAAGTACTCGAGACTAAAACATGGTTTTTTTTCATGTGTAACTTTGATCTAAAGCTCGGGGTTTTTCCCCACTAATGGTCTCTCCCCTCCCCCATTACCAGAAACTAAATGCCTAGTTTTATATAGGCCTATAGTAAGTACACTTAGACTGACAGCCTAGCTCCTTTAATTCTCATTAAACACATTTCCTCCTTCAGCACATCACAGTTGGCTGGGTTTGCCAGACCCTTGAACGTGCAGTCTTCTCAAATGCAGCCTTTTCTCTTTGTACCACCGTAATCGCTGACCTCCAGTCTTCGCGTAAATACCCTTATCGTTCTTGCCGGAAAAATCAGACCTAAGTGTTCTTCGGCCATCTTATTTTTGTTTCTGTTCTTTTCCGTTACCTTGTTTCTGTTCTGGTTTGACCAAGTGTTTTGGTATTACGAAAACTCTGCCATCGCTACTGCAGTGAATAACATATTGGCACGGGTTAACGGGTCTGCCCTGGTCATCCCTCAATCGACTGAAAATGTCACGGTACAGGTGCTTTAACTTTTGCTTCATCCGGCTGATTGATCTGCTACACTGAGAGTGCTCCTTTTTAAGGCTCTCCTTTTGTGTTTGAAGATTACATACGTCTTCTTCCAAGTTAAGGATTGCATTCAGTTTACGTTTACGACAATTTTGGGCAGCAACTTTGTTTTTTCCTCTTCGTCTGATATCACGTAGAAGTGACACCTGACTATCTGTCAGATGGTTCTTTGCTAGCATGGTGTTGAAAGAGTCAACGGGCATGCTCACGATTTCATCTACCGAAAATGGTATTCTCAGAGCTTTTGCATGGTGTTCATCGCTCCTAAGGTTTTTATCAGTAGAATTATGGCACCTATCCTTTACTTCGTTTGGTTTCTCCATCCACATGTGCTGCTGATGCTCCAGAGTGGATGCTGCTTGACTTGGCAGCTGATTATAAGCGTGGTTATGAAGAAACTGCTGAAGCGTGGCTTCTCTAGAACATTCTGAATCACTTGGAATTTCCATTTTGCCGTATTTACTGTGTTCTTGGCTATGGCCACCAACGGCTTCTAAGCCATGCGAAGAAAAAGATTTAACATCACTGCTGTATCCAACAGCACCTTCACTGCGGACTGAGTAAGAGGCAGTGCTGTGACTTGAATTCAAAGGCATTCTTCAAAGAGCTGAGAAACTTCTATAGGATCAAAGCCTTCCTCCAAAGCCAAAGACATGAGTTTAATTTCATCAAAATTATCATCATGGGCCGTTAGGTTTCTCATGTCAGCAGCTGAAAACAGGCCTGTCAAATCTGACCCATTAAGTAGTGATTCTGGATCTGCGGTATTAGAGCTTGACTGAGGAAAAGACTCTTCCTTTTCTAAATGTCTTGTTTCTGAATATGATTGAGTGGGGTAGTCTGTTCTTAGTAGTGCGGCATCATGAGGACTGAAACAGTGGCAAAGCGTCTGGGTCAAACTTATATTGTGGTGGGAGGATGATGGGTCTCGGCCTCTACTAGATGTAGCAACTTGCGTATCTTCCAGTAAACTCACCTAAAAGATGATGGGGGGAAAAAAACGGGATCTTTTATGAAATGAATGCCTCTACATACCTCACCTACACAGCCTTGATGGATTTACTTTTTAATATTCTGCTATTTGAATCTATTAAAGTCAAAATTTTATATGTTAAACTCTTCTTATAGCTATCCTGAATACTGTTTCCCATTTGTACACCACATAACCTGCGCTGGCATGTGGCAAGAGGAAGCGGGAAGGGTGCAGAAGAAAAGTGACTGAAGGGATGGGAAGAGGAAGACTCACAAAGGACAGTGTGGGGCTGACGAGTGTTAAAAGGTGGAAATAGGACTGTTGCTAAATGTACGTCAAACTACAGCCTACGTGTTCATCTGACCTCGTCTAAGAATAGGTCCTTCTAGGAGGGGCCGTCCTGCCCCTTCCCTGGTAGAGGTTTTGATGATCATCTGATTCCAGGGTGAGCTGGTTCAAGGTGCTCAACTGTTAGAAGATTAACCTTGTAAAGAACATAAATAGCTCACTGGCAGGACTTAACCAGTAAGAACAGTGTTGTAAGAGGGAAGGAGGACTGGAACGTTACGGTCGTGCTGGCGCATCCTCACTGCTTTTCCTTCACAGTTAATAAAGCTTTTGGGGCTGTAAGCTGCCACATTTGGCTTAGCTCCTTCTTAACTGAGTTCTACTGTGTTCAGATTTCAACTCAACTCCTTTATTAATCAGTTTGGAGGAAACACACACACACACCCCCAATCACACCTTCTGTGGATGTCTTTTGACTTAGCTGCTGGATTTCAGACAACAGACTAGCGCTGCAGTAGCATTAAGGCCCACCTTTTCTGGGCCTGGGTTATAGCTGCTGGGTCCTAGAAGTACAAAGCCACTGCGCAAGATTATGTCAGGGCACTTGCTGTCAAGTAGAGTAGTCGTAAAATATGTGGACACGAAAAACTTGAGAATGTAAATATATTAAGTAGCAAACGTATGCTACGCTTCCTCCATAGCTGAGCATCCTGTGGTGCAGGAAAGGACTTTTCCAACTGCTGTTCGTTGAACAAACAATGTAGAAAGCACTTCCCGTAGGGAAGGAATGATGTACCATAAAGACCAGAATGTCTTAAGTTCTCTACTGTGCTTACTGGGAGCTCAGGTAACAGAAGAAAGTCTTGCCTCTAGGGAGTTACCTTGTACTAGACCATCTGTAGTCCGAGAAAGCGAGCTGGTATTTTCAATTAAGCCCTTGGAAAGAAATACTCTTAGCAAGTTAACTTTTAAAAAATACCCCACACTGTAAAGACTTGGTACCTGTTAAAAACAAGCAATCCATTTTCAACAGATGGATTGTCACAAGATGGCAGTGCATTAATAGTCTTAAATAAAATATGCAACCGTGTATTGTTATTGCTACACAAAGGCTACAGCCAACTTCCTTTCCAATTATGAAAAGAACAGAGAAAACTAAATTGGTGAACTTCTGAACCTTGTTAGCGTGGAATCCATTACCAAAGCTGAACAGAGGAGGAGGGTAATTTATGTGCTGGGAGGCACTACCCAAGCTAGAGATTCCCAAAACAAGGCATTCCAGAGAAAAACATGAAGTTATATGGAAAACACTAATGACCCTGTAAGGCTCCTATGATGGGAAGCGTATGTAAGACACCCTTGAGGTATTACAAAAAAGGAATGTAGGGAGTAGCTTCATGGTTAATGATTGCAGCTACACACTGTGGGAGAGGAGGGAGACTCCAATTAAGGTAACAACTGCTTTTTGTGAAGACGGGCACCCAGAAAGCAAACAATAGTATCAGAAGCCCAGAAGATAAAAAAAGAAATCAAAATGGTTTTGCCTCTAATGCTGACTGACCTGATTTGCGGCAAAGATGGGTCTGTTCTCCTTGAGGGTAGTATCCTTGTGACGACTTGACCCAATGTTTGTGGCAACTCTAATCTTTGGCTGCAAATGCTTAATAGCTGCTAGTGCTTAATAAGCCAGCGTGCTCTAGAGAAGCACACCAAGAGCTGCTGTATAGATATGAATTGGCATTAGGTTTTAGAACGGGAATTATTAGCTGAACTAATAAAGTTGTCCGATGGCTCCATCCAACTTTGAACACCAGGTGACAGAGAAGATGGGACTTTGCAGTTTTCAAATCCCAGACAAATTACTGGGGAAAATTTTTCAAGTAGAGCCAGTGACAGCTGCTGTAAAAGGTGGACACTACCGTCTTTAATGTCTTCAGGTAAGTTTTACTGCATTGATTTGCTGATATATTCAACTGGGTTTTTTTTTAATTAGACAGAACAGATTAAGTCATTATCCAGTAATCACTGACTGTATCCCAATCTATTAACAATACATGTGTTTTCCCATTTACCTCTAGCATATTTTCCATCTGCGACGACAGAAGCTGTAAATAGCCCTCCAAGGAAAGACGGGAATCTACATGGTTGTGGTTTCTCTGTGACAGAAGAAACAGAAACGCTTTGTAAAGCACAGTTGTTTTACATAAAAGGAGGTAAAAATCAAAGTCTGAGAGGAAACAGAGCAGAGCTCTGTGAAACGCTGCTGCTGACACTGCCATCAAGTCTTCATCCTGATGGGAGATGTCACGTTGCTAGAACGAGCAGAATGACTCCGTGGCAAGAGCATCCTACTCTGCCCCACAAGAGCAGAACCAGGCTTTCCTCCTCTCTGAGGCTGCACCTACCCACCACTGTGGAAAAATCAAGTATCTTTTTCAAAGCTCAGCTGCCAGGGCAGTGGTGAACAGAGGGGCTGGCAAGAAAACCGGATCGGATGTTCTCAGCTCTCATAAGGTCTCAAGAAGAATGAATGCTCTTTTCCTTGTAGCTCTCAGAAAGAGCAAAACCCGAAGTGCACCCGTTTCAGTTTAACATCATTAAGGGTGTTCCTCTGCCTTCTAGTTACACATGTTAAGATCTGAACAATCCAGCTTCCCAAATGTAATTCTACATCTGGGAATCAAGCTTTATGTAAATGGTGAAAGCAGTATAATTATAGCATCCACGTCTCAAGTGTCTGTAGGCCAAAAAAAGTCCTTGCCCACAAACACAATACCTTCACAATGGAGAAAATAAAACCAAATTGAAAAATGGTTAGTTGCAAGTGATTTTTGTAAACTTTAGAACATTTCAGCTACATAAACTATACCGGGGGGGGCACGACAATTTTTGAGAAGGTATACGAGGGCATCATTCACAAAATATCATCTGAAGTCACTGTTCCTTTCCTGCCCTTGCAAAGGACATTCCAAATGAAAAGAGGAAATAAAATATTTCTTTCAAAACTATTCACTCCATTTTTTTTCACTAGTCTTTATCTCAGTGATAAGCCCTACATATTCCCTCACTTCCTCTTCTCAGTTTTCCCTTCTTCCATTTTTTTCATCATTTACTTCATTTATGTCATCCTCCTCCTCTTGCAGTTCCAGCTGATCATCTCCTTGGTGCAGACAGCAGTCAACCAAAGCTTCCTGACATGCTTTCAGGTCAACATCCTGAAGACACAAATAAAACAGTTTTATTAAGCAACAAGCTGTCAAAATTAATCTTTAAAATGCATTTTTTCCCCCCCTCCTTTTTTTTTTTTTTTTTTTTTTTTTTTTACAACTATAGCATTTCAAATAAAATACACACTGGACAGTTCATTCATGTGGATAAACTGACTCTGGGTAGACTTTGGGGGCAGAATGAGACCGACATCAGTTCAGGAGTGCAGACACCGCCTCTTCTTTTGGTGCCCAGGCACTGAACCCATCTGCGGTAGAAATGGACGTTCATAAACACCCGAAACAAATTCTTCTAAACCAGACAACATGATAATGTGATTTCATGGAAAGTTTTGGGCTGTCAGTGTCTTTTGGATGTCGTTTCACAACAATATATCCAAGCCAGATATATACTTAGTGATGGAATCTTAAAATAGGCAATTATACATGGACAGTTAGCAAAATCCCTCGCTTTTTCTTTCGGGAAAACAATCACATTAACACATATTGTAATAGCAACTCTGTTTCCCCATCACTTCCATGTAGCCATTATCCAGTTCTCATTTATCCAAATTATGTTGGTTTTTTTTTTTAATCTCCACTCCAACAATGAAATTGTTCTGATTTAGTGGTCTCAGCAGTATTTTTCAAGTTATCTTTTATCTATAGTCACATCAGCAGATCTTTTTTGTTTTTGTTATAGAGCTGGGGTATTGCTAGGGTAAGAAGGAATCACTGCTGAGCCCTCTGTATATTTTTTTTTTTTTAACTTTGATATTTCAGCTTTACAGGGCAATTCTGAGCTATTAATATGTGAAACTCAGTGGAATGGCAACCAGAAAAGCAAGTGGCCCCACTGCATTAGTTCCATACATCCCCAACAATATGCTACGGCAGGAGCAGAAAAAACAAGCTCTCAACAGCAGCAAACGTACCGAGTTAGTGTTCTGTTCTTAAAATCACAACAAATTTACTCTACAGGTTTTATATGAAAGCATAAACTATATAAAAAACTGCAGTTGTAACTGTCATCAAAATGTAGAAGAGATTTTTTTAAATTATTGCTTCATAAAAAACACATTAAAATTAAATGTAAGAAGATTTAAAAGTAGGACTCTGAAATAAAAATAAATATAATTTGAAAATAAACTAGTATTAATTTAAATTTTAGTAATTCTATTAAAATTTATTTTTAGAATTATGAAAATGAATTTTATTTTAAACTGATTTTATTTG